TTTCATAGGTGATAAATTATCAGGACACACTCATTTTTAAGGTTTATATTGTTGCCGACGTTTCAATCCAAGCAGGCGGGTCATCATTATGGAGTGTTAAAGTACTTGAACACCTTCAGTGCTCGAAACACACCTTGATGATAGCCCACATGCTTGGTTTGAAGTGTCAGCACCAATAAAAAATCTTAAATAAGGTGGCGACCGACCTGAAAAAATGGCAACAGTCAGGGAATCTTTTCAGTACATTAATATTTTTTCAAATTGAATAAATATATAAATGTTTATTTTACTATACTGGTGATTGTGTTTATTGTTTTTGATATTTTCTATCTGCTTTCGGTCTCAGGAGAAATAAAGTAAATAGTTTGATATAGCAATAATGTTACTGTTAGTTAAACTTCCTTTTAGTTTATGAAAATAAAATAAAGACGAATAAAAATAAATTACTAAAAGTTTAATTGAAGTGAAGTTGGTTAGGACATTCAGTCAAAAAAATTAAAATAAATAAATGTTATTTATTTTTATTTTGGCTGAAATTTCGTCCCAAAGTTCAGCCCTTCAACAGGGTTACATTTTTCTTGAATATGTTACAGCCATAGTATAATTGATATAAAATAGTTTATACTTAAGGAAAGCTTGTGCATGTTTAAGAAGTTTTGATGATTTTGATCCTTGAATAGAAAATTGATTTGAATTGAAAATTGCGACATCTTGTTGGAAAATTCCCATGGAGAAGGTGACCAGGAGTAAGCCTTGTATGCCCTATTCTAAGGCGTGTTACAATAGTTTGCTGCCTGCGCTTTCCTTTAATCTGCGGGAGTGAACTAGTGTCATCGTTGACAAACTTCATTTTATTGGTGCTTGGAACCTTTGGTCTAATTGTCACGCCAAGCTTCTTTACATAGGCTCCGTGCTTTATTGTAGTCATTTAGTACTGTGTTGATATCAGTAAATGGAAATAAGGTAGATGCTTCTTTTGCTTCTACAAGTTCATTTCCCGTTATATCTACATAGCTTGGGACCCAGATACATTTTATATTTTTGTTAATTTTTTGAATGAGGTGTACGATAGAGAACTCCAAAGAGTTTCTGCAGAATTTAAAACTTTTTATTAGTTAGAGGGCTAAGTAAGAATCGCTCTGAGTTAGTATTGTTAATTTCATCATTTATCATAATGATTAGGGATAAATATATGACAGAGCTCAGAGGAGAAGACAGAATAAGGAGGCAGGGATAAGCAGTACTATCAAACATCCCACATTTTCTATTTTGTTTTTATCCATCAGTGCAAATGCAGGTAAAATCTTTGTAACAATTTAGGAGAGTCAAGAAGTATTGTTTTAGAGATCCTGATGGATTGGCTAGTTGTGTTTTAGTTTAAAATGAGAAATAAAAATTTGCTTTATCTTTTGTCCAAGGAATTGATGGATTTGTCGTCATAAATTACTTTGGTTGTCAGTAGGAATAAGAAACAGGTGGATAGTTGGAAAGTTGAATAGGTTATTTATACATTGAGAAATCAAAAAAGTCAGAAGTCGTTTTTAAGCGTCCTAAAAATTTTAACACAAAATAGTGTCTGTGAATTTCTAGCGGGCACTCCTTAGCCTCCCAGAGCAGACTGTTAATAGGACTAGTCCTGAAGGCTCCGGTTGCCCTACGGATCATTGCATGGTGAACTGGATCTAGTTTGCTTAGTATTTTCTTTGAAGTATCCTCATAAACTCTGTATTCATAGACAAGCTCTGGTCTAATTAGACATCTATATAACTTTAACAAGGAAAGCCTATCGCAATCGTAAGCAGAACCAGAAAGTATTTTTATTAAGTTGCATTTCTCAGATAATTTGGACAATAGCGTTTCTATATATAATTTCCATGAATCCAAGGTCACCCCTAGGTATCGAATAGAATCGAGTTTATTCAAAGGTTGAGTTCCAAGATGCACTATAAATGGTTGGCCATATCTGTGAATTCAACGAAAATGGATTGCCATTGATTTGGAAAGGCTAAAGCTGAAGCCACATTTACCGGTCCAGTTTTCTGGGCCTGTAAGAGTTTCCTGTATCACGAATTGTCCAAAGCTTACATCGCTACAGCCTTAATAAATCAGAACATCATTAGCGTATAGTGCAACATTAACAGGTTTGGATATGAATGATTTGATATTGTTAATGGCATTGTTGAAGAATGTAGGGCTTAAACAGATCCTTGTGGCACATGATTGTTTAACTCAAAATTGCTTGAAAAAGTAGAGCCTGCTTGAACATTAAAATTACGATTACTTAGAAAATTGTGTATAAATAGTAAAATATTGCTCGAGTTATCATAAATGTAAAGATTTCAGAATTCTATTTCTCCAACATGAGTCAAACGCACTTTTCAGATCCAAAAAAACCTAAAAAAACGTGCTGATTTCTTGTAAAAGATGATAGAAACTAATTTAATTTGAAAAGATTGTGAATTGTTGATTTAGTATTTCGAAATCCACATTATTCGCTATCTAGTAGATGCCAAATTTCAAATTCCCATAATAGTGTGTGTTTAATTATTTTTTCAGTCAATTTACAGAGAACTGAAGTGAGAGAGATGGATCAGTAGCTTTGTGTAAGTTTGGGATCTTTATTGACCTTTAGTAAAGGAATTATTGTTGCAGATAAGCAACTTTTAGGAAATTATTTAGAAGCAATAATAACAGGTCCATTACACTTGTAGGTAAGTGCTTATAAATTCTATATGAACCTGAGCTGGGCATGGCAATTTGGAACGAGATGTTCTTATGCTTTGATGTAGTTTGATGTGAAAGGTAAAGCATACAGTGAAGTACCAAGAAAGCACTGAATTTAATGGTATTACTTCGGGTTTTCAAGATATTGGATTCAAGTACTGTCCAAAGGCATTGCCTATTTCATTGGGCTCGGTAAGAGTTTTGTCATTGTAAATTATCGAACGAGGAATTTTATTAATTGGCTGACTCTTGATAGCTCTTATTCTATTCCAAACAATTTTTGTTGAAGTAGAAGAAATAAATTTTGTCCAAGAATTTCTTTTGGCTTGATTGATAATCCACTGCACTTCTGCCCTGGCTTTATAGTAACTGCTATGGTTACTTATAGAGGATCGAGATTTTAACACCTTTAAAGCTTTATGTAGTTTTGTCAGAGCAGAGTGGCACACAGGTAACCACCAAGGAACCGTTTTTAAGTATTTGGAAGATCCTGTTTTAGGAGCAAAAAGTGTAGCAATCAGGGTAATCATTGAAGCAAGATATTCTCAGTGAGACATGGAAATTTCAAAATGTTTGAAGCGATCTTTACAGGCTTGTGTATATTTTTCCCTATTGGCTTTGTCCATCCTCTATTTCCCAATAGAGTGTGGAAGGAAAGGATCAATTCGCAGCGAAAGCAAGTAGGTAGATGATCACTGTCTGCGAGATCGCAATGCAAGTAGAACTGAGAGATAGTAAAAAACGAATGAAAGCTAAGCCGAGTAACCCATCTTTTAAATGTTTTAATGGATTGATATCACATTAAAAGTCCTCTCTGAGATGCTACCTATTTATGGCTAAAAGGATTTTTTCGAAGCCCATTGAATCAAAATGAATTCATTTGTTAATCTTGCAGAGAAATTGGCTATTAATAAATAAATGTATGTTAAATTAATTTTACCCATGCCTGTCATGTAATTATTTCATACATCGCTAACACATTTGCTGATTGTCAACAATAAGTTGACAGGCGCAAATACATTCTTTAAAGACAAAAAAAAAATTACTTTAATAATAACTGGGTGACAATTATTATTTTTAATGAGTTCATTACTTTAACTCATTATTAATAATAAAATATATCATAATTTAAGGATTCTATTTAGTTTATATGATTTTTATTGTTTAATTATCTCTTTTGTAATATCGGTAAATTAACATACAGTCCACCCAATAAATTTATTATTATTCAATATTTTAAGTCATAACTACATTTTTTTCTCAATAATAATAAGAAAAACAGTAAATTGGAAGCCTATAATCATTTACATAATTTAAATAAGGAGATTATAACATTGATCACCGAATTCCATATACTGGTCAGAGAGTTTAGTCTCTAAGGTTATATCAATGGTTAAATTTATTTGAAAAACCAATATTTAGAGATCAGAGTTGGAGGGCGCATAACAGAAGTGAACCAATTATACTAAGTACTAAGTATGCATAAAAGTGTTAGTGAGGGGGAGGTTTTAATGAGAAAGCTCTTTACAATTTTTAACATAGAACGTTATGGTATCTTTAATAGAAAATGGCAGTTGATAACAAATGAGTGGCTTCATATCAAAAATTGACATATGTAAATTTCAGAAAATGGGGAAAAAAGCCATTCTTTGTTTTATGGATTCAATTGAAATTTTTTCTGATTATTTTTTTTTTTTTTATGATTTTTCAATTTGAATCATGAACAAAATCATTGGAATTGGTTTAAATTGAAGCTATGTTATGAAAATTAGATTTAACACTCTCTTGGTTGAATTATATTTAATAAAAATGGAAGAGTGGTTAAGGACAAATATGGAAAACAAGTTTTTTTTCTTTATTGAAATAAATAAATAAAAATAAGAATCTAACCGCAATAAAACTATTTTATGATCAATCTATTGATATAATAGCAATATTTTGGGTTGTATTAAACGCATTCAGAATAAAATTGTGTCAGTGACAAAAAATAAAATATACAGCTTAAAAAGCTTGAAGATTTCCAAGGCCTCCTAACTTGGGCTAAAGTTTACTCAGAATATGTGTAATTAGGGTTTGTTCCCTTCTGCTGAATACCTTACAATTGTATTCTTATTCATGATATTTTTAAGAGGATGAACACACACAGATAAATATATGTGCTGAGGCATATTTAAAAGATGGTAGCTTAGTCATGTCTAGAGGTTAGTACCTATTCTGGCCGACGGGGCGCGCTTGGTCTTGTCGACAGCGCTCTCTATCAGCGACACATCAAACCTCTAATTCAATTTTCCATGAACAGGGAAAAGATCTAATTGCCATACCTGATTGGCTTTCTGGAGTTTGTAAACTTGAAAGACAGCAGCGATAGGTGTTGGCAGGTACCAGTAGTGAGGGAACAGTCGTGTGGAGGTACTCCTAGAATAGCTGTCTGTGACCGGGAGATGAAGAAAACTGCTCGCGGTGACCTCCTTTGATGTGCGTGTTACGTAAAGCCGTACTGCGCAATTTGCAAGTACCTCTGGTCTCCCTTCAAAACGAATAAATCTTTCGCCTTTTACTAAAGATTTCCGTGGAGGGGGACTCTTGATGAGTCTAAAATAATTTTTTGTCAGCACCCTGCCGTAAGGTGGGGTCATAACTGTAAATCACAATAAACTGTCTGTTTTAACTTCAATATTAAAAACTTGACTAGAGTTACTCAATAGTTGAATATTTGTCTGTCTATGTATTGCATTAAGGGGAAATGAAATCATCGTATGTATCCCTTCTTGATCGTATTTATATTTGACATTTAATAGGGTTGGTATCATTTACTTACTACGTGGTTGAAATTCACTAAAACGGGATTAATAAAAGTTTATTTCTATCGAAAAATTACATTGTTAGTTAGGGACTTTTTGCGATAGATCGAGGTTTCAGAGTTTTAAAATCACACCTACAGTTTTAAAATCACATCACAGTAGTAGGTGTAGTCACGGCCGAATTTACTAAACTATGTTTAGTATTAAATATTTAACAAGAAATAGTTGTCAGTTATCCAACAAATTAATAGGGGGATCAATTGATGGGTAACGAAAATGGATAGATATACATACATACATCTTCCATCCCATATCGTGGGTGCAAAACATATGGTGTCGATCAGCAAAATTGGTTTTGAAATTTTCTGACGGTCTATTGATTGTTTATTTATTGTTATTGTTTATTTGTTAAGATTGCTCATTTCTTATTGAAATCGGCGGTATCGTCCTTTAATTCAGTTTTCATAATACAGACAAATTATTATTCAATTTTATCTTAAAAATGTTTTATTATTCCTGACAACAAGGTCCGCCTTGTTTCCTAATTTGATTAATGATTATATATTATGGGACCACTCGGACTGCGTACCTCCCCGTCAGTTTGTCCAAAAGGACAAACCGAACGGTCATCGATGACCCGCCAGTTCTGCTAGAGAACCGACGGATCCGCCTCGCGCTCAGGAGAGGACGCTATCGATCGTCATCGTGGTTTTGAGTTACCCGACGATTACCGCCGAGGTGAAGATCAACGAACTACAGAAATGATCCTGTAGAAGTATGATCTTAACTGTTGTATCGCTTCACCGGGAGACTAATGCTTCTTGGAAAAATATCAGCTGCGAGAGGATATACTATCTTACGATCCTCTAGAATATCCGTATCCGAATTTATCATTTCCCAGTTTGCATCATTCCATAATTAAAGGAACAACCCTATCGCAAAAATGCTGCGTTTTTCTTAACAAGAACGTAATTATTGATTTGTGTTTAATATTATATAAAATACCGTTGAAAATGTATTTAGATAGTGGCGCGCCTAGGCAAGATACATGGAACTACGTTGGCTACCACATGGTCAACACCTCAATGAAATTTTAACTCTAGAAAACCTTTTCGTTTTGGATAGTTATTTTATTAGTTTTAATAGTAATATATTTAAATTTATAATTTTTCAAGATCGTTTTTATGTGGAATCTATACTTACACATAACCTAGAGCCACCACAAAACTGAGATAATGATTCAAATGGTCAATCCTAATAATTAATCTACTAATGAAGTGAATCCTGAATTTGAGCATATTGTTTACAAATACGAATATAACAAAAGATTTTTTTTTTCAATATTTAAAATATGACCATTAATGTTCAGACTATATGCTGAGAGATAAAAAACTATTCGACAGCAAGGTAGGGAAAGGGAATTTACAAATAAATATCTGCTAAGAAAACTGCAATGGTTAAAACATTAGATTTGGAGGACAAAAGTCTGATACCTTTTGTGAATGCACATATGAGAATTATATAATATTTTTCAATAGTGTTAATTTGTAATTATTAGTAAAATATACAATAAATTATTTCAGAGTAAGTAAGAACATTTTCGAATGATTAAATGAAGTATATTATTTTTTTTTTTTTTGTTCTTATTTTTTGTACTAAATTAAATCAGAGATGTATTCCACTTACCTAACATTTAAAAATTAAATCACATCATTTCAAATTGACGATATGAAGTTTTATTTAATCCATTTTTGTGTTTTTCTCCTCCAATTTTATACTGTTCTAAAAATATTTTGTTTATAAAATGAAAACAAATAAAATAAAACTGAATAACATCATGTCTTTTACTATTTACAATACTTTTATAGGGCATTTTATTATAAGAATATCCCCATGGTCTTTTCATATCAAATATATAACAGAGAGAACTACAATCAAGTATTCTACAATAGAATTATTCTTATGTAAAAGGATGCATATGTCTACCGGCATAAAAAAATGATAGTCATTTCATGTCAAATGACACAACAAATAAATATCTATATATTGGGGAGGATCCCGAATGAGTCCAAAATAATAGTCTCCTCCATTATCCATATCTGCTCCCTTCCAACCCTGAGCTTCTACAAGAAATCACTTGTAGAATGAGGGATTGAACATCTTAAAAATAACATAAAAATTCTAATAAAAAAATATAATGCATTCTAATAAAAAAAAAAGTAATTATAAGATTATGTTTTTCACCTCTATATAAGGAAACTTGAAAAAAAGACTTTTTTTTAACATGTTTTGAAAATGTCTTTTATGGTTGCCATGCAAAATATTAAATAAAGGCATTTATTTAAATAACCTTAAAATAAGATGTTTGTTTTACATGTCCATGTTGTATTTAACATATCTCATCCTGTTTATATATTATATAATTGAAATTATTATATATTGATTTAATATTTAAATTTATTTATTTATAGTATTTAAATTAAATCTTCCAAATTTTCAAGGGCACTTATAATCAATAAAATTTCTGATTTCGAGGAAAATAATTTTATTTAACTCTTACACCTCCACTGCATGCTTTAATTTATTTTAATTTTTTCGACAACGTTTGAGGCAATTTTATTCATTTTCAGGTTGAAATATTTATCTAGAATATTATAATACAATAATTGCAAATATATATGTAAAAGATATAACCGCACCCAAATAACAATCATTGAAAATTCCAAAAAGTAAAAATTAAGGAATAAAAATCTCTGCTTGCATCATTATCCTATCATCCATGTAATATTATTTTATATTTTATTTTTTTTATATAAAAAAATATTTATTATACTCATATATACTAACCACCTCTGTATATTTATATATAAGTTTATTTATTGTCCTATAGATTAACTAGTATGCTGTGTGTATAGCAATCCAATATAATTGGGCAGCAAGCTTTTATATTTTAAATGAAATAATAAAGTGTTTCTCTCTGTAAAATTTTTCTTTTTTCATCTGCCCACATTCTTCTAATATTAATTTCATAACTTATTTATGAAAAGTCAATTCTAAAAATGAAAATAAAAATAGTGAACATACAAGACGTCTGAAATAAGAAAAGGCCAAAAAATGAATTTTTTAACAATTTAACATACTATTTTATAAATTACCTTTGGACTGCAAAAAATTAAACTTTTTTTTTTAATTTACATCAAATGTTATAGCTTTTCATTGATTTAAGCCAATGATTCAAAAATGATTATTTAAATTATAATTTAGTGATTATGTCTAGATAACATAATGCTGGGCCAATCCCCTTAATATCTGTTCTGAAATTAAAAACAGTTTTAATATTTTTAGTTGTATAGATAGATTACAAAAACTTTCTTATTTTATTATCTTCAGACATATTTAAAATTTCTATTTTACCATAATCAAAAATATGATTATTCATGATGTTATGCCTTGCTAAAGCGGTGGCATTGATATTTTTCGGGTTTTTAGTATTTATTTTATATTTATTTATTCTACTATGCAAATTTTAAGATGTTTTCCTAATGTAAAATTTATTTATGCATTGTAATAGTTTTTCCATGTATATATTTCAATTTTAAAAAATCTGGTGTTTTCACTCACACGACTTTCCTACCTATTTCAGACAACTACTCAACCGATTGTGTTGCTTCTTTATTTATTTTGTAGGGTTTTTACTACTGATGGCTGTGACAGAAATTTGTTGCTTCATGCGCAATAGCTTGCGCGCAATAAATGAAAAACATGTTTTTAATCATACAATATAAACAATCATACAATATAAAACAGGATAAGATATGTTAAATACAACGTTATGGACATGTTAAATAACCGCATATATTTAATATGTTGCATGAACATATCTGCATATATATCATAATTATTCAAAACAAAACGTTATATCAAAAACTTCTTTAATGCCTGCTGAACATCCTATGATTATTAGAAAAAATATTATTAGCAATAAAAATAGTGAAGATCGCAGGACAAAACATTCTTATAATTATGATATATATGGAGATATGTTCATGCAACATATTAAATATAAGCGGTTATTTAATGTGTCCATAATGTATTTAACATACCTTATCCTGTTTATATATTATATAATTATATTTATAATTATATATTATATAAACATAATAAATAATTATATATTATATAACGGTTTATATATTGTTTTTAAAAACGGTTTCTGTCTAACATTAATATATTTTTTATTTTTGTTTGATTTATTAGACAAAGAATGTTTTGTCCTTCTATCTTCACTATTTTTATTGCAAATAATATTTTTTCTAATAATCATAGGATGTTCAGCAGGCATTAAAGAAGTTTTTGATATAACGTTTTGTTTTGAATAATTATGATATATATGCAGATATGTTCATGCAACATATTAAATATATGCGGTTATTTAACATGTCCATAACGTTGTATTTAACATATCTTATCCTGTTTTATATTGTATGATTGTTTATATTGTATGATTAAAAACATGTTTTTCATTTATTGCGCGCAAGCTATTGCGCATGGAGCAACAAATTTCTGTCACAGCCATCAGTAGTAAAAACCCTACAAAATAAATAAAGAAGCAACACAATCGGTTGAGTAGTTGTCTGAAATAGGTAGGAAAGTCGTGTGAGTGGACACACCAGATTTTTTAAAATTGAAATATATACATGGAAAAACTATTACAATGCATAAATAAATTTTACATTAGGAAAACATCTTAAAATTTGCATAGTAGAATAAATAAATATAAAATAAATACTAAAAACCCGAAAAATATCAATGCCACCGCTTTAGCAAGGCATAAC